AACTATATGAGCTATTAAGCTATATGAAATGCCTAACAGTTTTATTATTGTAAAATCCAAGTTGAAATTTACATCAATTCCAGACAGCCTCTGTTCAGTGGCATTTTGTGCTTTGTGGGGTGGCTTAAATTGATTGAAGGATTCTTGGTGCATTTCACCCATGTTTGAGAGACTTCTTATTTCAATTCAGCCCACTGTTTGTTTTTTTGTGTGAACATTGTTACACATGTTATTTGCCACATAAACCAGTTTGAATTTAGTTTGTTTATTTTATATATTTATATTTATTTAAATATACTTCAAGTAAATATATCTAAATATATCCTGGAGTAAAGGATAAAAAACTTGATGTAACATGATGTAACATTTATTTTGATAATTGATAGTCCAGTATGAATTAAATTCAGTTAAAAAACATTTAGTAAATGTACCACAACTGTTTTGTTAAATAATAGTATCATTTTCAGTTACATCTACCTAGCATTTCAATCATATTTACTCATTTGTTAGTAGTTTTGACTTAGAGTTACTATTGCATTGACTTAGGATTATAATTATATCTACTCAATTTTATATGCCATGATACTAAATGTAGTTATTCACATTATTATTAAACAAAGTTTAATAATAAACAAAGACAGGCTGCCCCATTTATCTCCCTTTTTGATTAGTTCTAAATGCTTAATATGCTGCTGTGCATAATCTGTGTAAACTTAAAACTGTCCCTGGACGACAGCACAGTTTGGTTGCTTCCATAATTTTATAAATTGGCTTTAAAACAGCAGCCTGATTGCACTTATGGGCAAACTTTTATTGCCTGCCGCTTTCAGTTGGCATCATATGGCAACAACAATGCCAAATTCAAAATACTTAGGCTGCATCCCAAACCACAAGCTGCAGCACTAAATAGAATGTGAAATTAGTGCACCACCATTAGAAGTGCATTCATTAGTGTTTTATTAGTGCAGTATGTAAAAGCTATAAGTGTGTGGTTCATGATGCAGCCTCAGTTATGTCAATTTTACAGAGCATGAGACCGTGAGGTACGTCTCTATTTGACAATAAAAATAAGGCTATGGCTGTGTCACACTGCTTATTACTCCGTCAGACTAGCTAAGATTATCAACAACGGATCTAATGAAAAATATAGCCACAAGCGGCAATCTGTGGGGTCCAAGCTGTCTTTCGCAAGTAGGCCCAACATTGCTATTTTGGCTATGGCCAACACCTGTCCAACTTCAATGGGTATGAGTCCACATGTGGAGATACATATCAAGTTTTGCAGTGATTGGCCAATTCTAAGGCTTTCAAATACCTGCTGAAATCTGATTGGCCAATGACAGCTATGTTTTTTCAAATATGATATCATCGTTGATCAACCTACTGATTAAGGACAGCATGCAGAAGCACCTTGCCAAATTTCATGTCAGACAACCTTTGTTTCGAAACACTTTTACAGCGCCACCTAGCAGTTGCACCAAACTTAGAATATTGCCTATGACTTGCCTAGGGTACATGCCTATGAAGTTTCCTAACAATCAGTCAAAGCATTTCTGAGCTATATATGCATGATCTTTTCAGTATGAGCACCACCACTGTTTTTTCATGGGCCTTGGACACTACACAGTGTTGAAATTGTCAACTTTTGACACCAGATTTGTGCAGATTGGGCAAGAACCAATAAGTAGGAACTAATAAGTAGGCAGAGCTATATGGTTCTTAAGGCTTTTTTGTAGAGCATAAAAAGTATAGTCAGGGGAACAAGAATTTGTCATGGTGTGGGGTGTATTTTAAGTCATACAGGCACATCTTTCGACCAAAATATAAACATACAAGCAGAAAAGCAGCTAGCAATGGTTACTAAGTGGTGATTGGAGGGCTAAGGAAAATGGGCTGGGTTTTGAAATGGTCTGATTTGCTCATTTTCTGATGTTGGCAGGCTAGTTGCACCCCTTTAGTGTAGTATGGCACATTGCTGGTGTCATATGCTGGATACTATACTATATACTACTGAAGAGTAGCATGCAGTATACAGTATATACTGATGCAGTATGCATTACACAGTACATGCTATTTCGAACACAGCCTTTGTCATAACGGTCCACATTATATAAACAATGTAGTATGATGCTAATATCAGAATATATGCCAATATATGATTCTGTGAAACAGCAAAAATAAGTTAGTTACGCAGCTGTCAAGCAGAAAAAGAGCAAACTCATCCCTTTTCATGCCTTTCAACTCTCTATAAAACTGAAGTCAACTTCTTTTTCGTCAGCCGCTTGTTCAAATTTTCAAGTTCCACCTTAAATGGCGCAGTAGTTATTATTGTAACGCCTCATGCTTGATTCACAAATGGTCAAATCCGTCACTCTGCTGAATAAAACTATAATTTATAAAAGAGAATGGTACATCTGTTTACCCTCACCTTCTGACACCTTCTGACCGCACGTGGCGCATAGTAAAATATCAAATAAATAAGCCAGGAAAATCAATGAAAATTAAACCGAAAACCGAGTAAAAACTTAAAAGATGACAATTCTTTAATTTAATTTAATTCATGAACTTTGTCAAACGAAATACTAGTTAAACATTCTTTGCTGCACACACATTTCCTGGTTGGTCTACCAGGCTTGAAACCATCGCCTAATCAAAAGTCAGATCGCTGGCAAGGGTAAACAGCATATACGCTGTATGTATGAATGGCCCGTACCTGCGAGCTGGGGCGGTCACGCTGCACTCACGCCACGCAAAGGCAGCATGTGTGAATCGGGCAACAGGATGTAACGGAACGGAAAAATTCGAACAAGAAGCTGATGAATGACCTTAGCAGAAAATGCTACCAGCATTGAAAGCATAATTAGGATATTTTGACTTAGAGCCAAAATATCCTAATTATCAGCTTATAAGGGGGTAAGCAGTAATATTAAACTGAGTCTGTACTGAATTAGGCTGAGTGCAGGTAAGCTTGTAGAGCTTGCCAAAGTAAGCTATGAACAGAAGGGAAAGATCTACCATGTTTCAGTGAGCATCAGATGGAGAACTGCATCATAATTTTGCAGGGAAACCTGTTTCCTTTTTTATGTGCCTTCATTCTGTACATGGAAATACATTACCATGCTGGCAAAGCGTGTTGGTTTGCACATTTTTTTTAGCTGAAGCTGCCAGTCTAATGACGTGAATTTAGAGTAGCAGTAACATTAGCTTACATGTAGCAAGCTTCATATTTCTGTGTGGAGTTTGCATGTTCTCCCTGTGTCTGCGTGGGTTTTCTGCCACAGTCCAAAGACGAATTGGAGACGTTAAACTGGCCCTAAGTGTGAATGTGTATTTTTGTGTATCTGCCCTGTGATGGACTGGCGACGTGTCCAGGGTGTTTCCTGCCTTCCAGTGCTGGGATAGGCTCCAGAGCCCCCCATGACCCAGGGGGACAAGCTTAGATTTTGCGTGTGTATGTTTATTTATGTAACCTTTACAATTTTTATTTATTTGCTTAAATGAACATAAAATATGAAATACATAATGTGCCATAACTTTAGCATAGGTCACTTTCTATATTAAATTGAGCAAAAAACAGTAATTGAGGGTTAAAATGTGCATAAGAATGTTCTCTGTAGATGATGTGTATGAATTTTCACAAAAAAATCAACAAACCATTTAATTTGGCTGGTGCAACTGTATTTATAAGTACAGAGTAAATAAACCCTATTTATTGTACTCCTTGAATATACTTTGACCTACATATACAAAGTTTGTGCTTGAAGTCAGTTCTCATAAAAAGAAGGATATCTGTCCATATGGACAGCTGACTTGTACTGAGCTAATGTTGGGTCTCTGGAGTAAACTAAACCTGCTTTTAGACACACTCTCATGTGAAGCACAGCTGCTACTGTGATCTGCCAGTGAAGACCACATACTAATCACAACACACACCACCGATTAGGGCAGGGGTCGGCAACCCAAATGTTAAGAGCCATTTTGTCCTTTCAACAAAAATTAAACCACCTTGGGATCCACATTTTATGTCCATTTTAGCATCTTGGCTGTAGATATGTCTCAGTATGTGCTAATGTACTGGAGTATAGGATAAGAAATATAAACAAATACGCAGACTTACTTTTCTTTAAGTTATAGCAGCTATAGCTATAGCAGCTTTTCTCACATCCCCGGCAGGAAACCTTTCCGCAAAAATGGAATAGTTTCTTGTTAAATGTCTCTCAATGTTCGATTTTTACAAGGCAGACGTCAGCTTTTCATTCGCCAACTTCTTGTTCGAATTTTCCCATTCCACCTCAAATGTTGTGTTTTTGTGGCCAAAATCCTTCAAGAAATGCAAATGGGTCATTTTTAACATTTAAATGTTTCTTTTAATGTCCATAGTTTTAGAAACAGTAAGATATAAGTGTCTCATTGAGATTAAGGTCATTCAATATTTAGTGTGCATGTGTAAATGCATACAGCACGGACGCTTTAGCAACAAGAAATGGATGTAAGAGTATGGATGAGCACAGCATAGAACCTAATTTCATGTTTAAATGACCATTCACATTGATCACCCACAGAACATGCACCTGTGAGGCAAGATTTAGTCATTCTCACACACCACTTAGTCCTGCCTGCTACGGCACCCACAACATCTGTAATCTTTTAAATAATGGTATGGGTGCATTAAGCAATGAACATTGGTAAAAAGTTGGCACACTGAACAGTGCAGGGTCATCTTACATGCCTTTAGTTCCAGTTCTTTGTTAAAATTTACATAGTAGCTGCACAACTGCTAAAAAAAAGGCATGCTATTCCACCCTATTTAAGACTAGTGAATGATTAGTAAATAAATCATTATACTGACCCAAGAAACATTTCTGACAGGTTAACTGAGAGGTAACCAAACCCCATTAAAGCAAAATGAATTTATAGAATGTTCTTGGCAAAAAAAAAAAATAAATTAAAAAAAAATCCATTTTTGCCCCAAGATTTAACACAAAAAGAAAAGGCATAAATACTACAAATAACATCATTAAATTATTTATAAAACACAATGAGAACAGCATTTTGTTCTTGATAATGGACTTAATACTACAGTGTATGCAAAGACAAGATATGCACTGATTAAAAAAGCCGTAGAGAGAAAGAAAATTCCCCACAATGTTAAATGTTCTCCATCTTATTTCAAATGAATTGTTTTAAGTTCACATGAGCACCACAGGCCCTTACTTATGAACTGATCCCAAAATACAAAAAATATTCTGAAAGGAAAATGTTGACAAAAGTGCTACAATAAGCAGTAGCATGAGTCTGTAATGACTACATAAAACAAGCCAACATAAGGCACAAATTAAAACATGGAAATGATTCACCTTTAACATGGTTCACTGTGTTAGTAAATAAGATAACTGTTGAGTTAGTGTGTTATGTTTTTTGCTGACCACCCCATTGTAGTGATGACTCAACAAAACATCAATCATAAAGTCTTTAATAGAAAACCTAAGAATTTGTTGGTATTCAGTGCAGCACTGTGGAGTTAACACAAGAGTTCATAATTTCCAGTAAAGCCCCTGGAGTAGCGCTGCATTACAGAGAATTAACAATCAATTGTTTTTATACTGAAATTCTGATTTGTAGGAGCAATTTTCAGCAGCTACAATTTTATCTATATCCTACATTATTCAGCACTGTCTTTAAAAGTTTTAGGTGGGGAAACAACCTAATAATGCAGAAATGGCGGTCTGGCACACTACATGCAGCGTTCGAGCCCCAAGTCCAGAAAAATAAATATGCTGGTCTTCTTTGTGCAAAAAAATGCCTGGAGCTTAATTCGTAGAAAATAACCGCATTTAAATTGTAATAGCATTACTGATCAGAAAAATTGCAATTCGGTATTTCCCCAAACCTTTCAGCCCTATCCAGGACCTTGACTGGGGAACATTGACTTAGATGACATTCTGGGCCATCTAGTGGGCACACTGTACAGTGCCACTACGCAGTATTATTTTATATTGCGGAGGATTCGGCGACAGTGGTTGCTCTTGACTTCAGCAAGAGCACGCTCCAGCTCCTGAATGAGATGCAGCAGTGTGGCAGGGTCTGTCTGCAAAAGACGGGCAGTCTGTGTCCCTCCACTCTCCAGGTGGAGCTTCAGAGTAACTGTAGGTTTCACTTGTTGTCTAAGAGCCCTGCTAGCCAACTACAAAGACATTAAGGTACATACACAAATGCACATTAGTTACATATACCAACATGCATATGGATAAAAATGATTTTTTTATAAATATATAAGAAAAATGCACTCCATAAACTGACATTTCCATACTCCAGTTGGACCAGTAATGTGGTAAGATTTTTGCCCGTACAATTTGTTCAGTATTTATTCCAACTTTTCCTGTTCACTGGAAAACTGTGCACAATACCTACATACTGATGCTGTGCTTCTTCTCTGTATTTTTATGTTATGATGTGCCTTTTATGTAATGTTACATAACACACATTGACAATTTCTTAAGTTCAAACAATGTAATTACAGCACAAAGTGTCTACATCATATTTCTGGCTGACTCATAACTATGGTTCAAGTCACTTTCACAGCTCTTTTACCAATACCTATAGAATACTTTCATGCTTGTAGTTCTTGACTTTATCAGAATGGCTGCATTAGAAATATAAAGTATACCTGTACGTCAAGCCGCCATTCAAGGTTGTGATAGTGAGGCAAAGAGGGAGCAAGCTCGCCTAGAATCTGCCGTATCTCTTTCCTGTTTTCTAAATATAGCTGTAGCAGGAGTTTATTAAGTTCCTCAGAAAACCCCAACACCAACACAGAGTCCTGAAAATCCACATCAGAGATCTGTGGGGACACATATTACACGGTTCAGAGTACAATATACAACGCAAATTGATGTGCCATTACAGTAAGGTTTTGACAATAATAGTTTGCTAACATAAACTGTTTCCAAGTAGAATTTGTCGAGCTACTCACCATAAGCTTTGAACTTTCAGTAAGAAGATACATCAATCCCTCAACTCCATGCTGAACAGTCTCTGATGGTACATTCAGCTTTCCTACAGTATCATTCACAAATATGTTTGGGTTAGGCGACAAACAATCCTGTCAGCACCGGGGTCTATTTGCCAGCAACGAGTGTTCGACAGTTCAAAATAGTTTTACTTACTCGCTGCTCCCTCATAAATTTTGGGGTTTGATCCCTTCTTCAAAAACTCCACCGCTATTCTGCCAAACTCCCCAACAACTGCAAAAGAGACGTTATGTGCGCATATGGGTCAGATTCATCGTTCCCCAGGTTTTTTTAAACATTTAAAAACAAGAAGTGTAACAAGAACCTGATATAAGCACACAAATCTGTAGCTTATGGTAGAGCTTTTTATTTTTGAACTGCAGTCCAGCTGAACCTCACAGGTTAGCTAGGTTAGCTAACATAGCTAACAGCTACCTTACCCACTTACCCGAAGAGTCCACCTCAGGTAAGAAGCCCAAATGCTCCTTATGCTCGTCAGATAAAACTAACAACATAGCTGCCTTTATGATACCTAATAGCACATCAATAATTAAAATATACAAGTGTTACGCCTATATTATTGAGTGACTACCTAACGGCCTGACAGTGTTTTTTTTCTGTTCTGAGTCACATGACCATAAGCGCACACCAAAAAGAATCCGACTAGAGACAAATGGGGAATACGACAGTTCTGCTTTCGCAACGCAGAAGCCACACTAGAGAACTTGTAAAAGTCACGTTAAACTATGTCATGTGCATGTTGCTACCTGGTTGCAACCCCACCCTCCCCGCGAAAAATATCTAGCTATATTTTAATAGCTGAGTTTGCACTGAATTAACGTTTGAAACAGAGTTACTACGCTATACTAATAACATGCGCATGCTCCGTACGACCGCTCAATGAGTAGGATAAATTGATGGAAATGGGCTATGGTGGTCGTATCGTGTTGTAGTCTGTCAGCCTTCTTCAAAGATGACCAAAAGAGTATTAAAAGAGGTGAAAACCACTTTCAGTCTGGTCATGCTAAGCAGTGTAACATTAGTTTCATGAGTGCAGGTCAGCTTGTGCGATTCAGTGCGCAGTAGCATTAGCTCCCATGTATCGATATTAGTATTATAGCTCTTTAACGAAATCGTAATTCGGAGGATCCAGTGACATTCGAGAGAAAAATGTTCACAGGACAAAACGTCTCAACTTTGGAACATTTTGATTACCACATAATACAGCAGAGGCGGTTCCCACAAACTCTATTCATTTTTCTCATAAAGAAATTCCTTTCAGACCCGGAATTCCTTATATGGGCAGAAGAGCAAGGCGTCGACTACAGAATGACCACACGATTTCAGTGGTTTTTAGCGTATGCCTGTGCAAGTCAATGGACTGAAAGTAGTTCCTGTCTGATTTGATCACTCATCACTTCGCCTGAAGAAAAGTAGCAGGTTTCTATATGATTTGTATTAGAGGAGCACTCTGAAAAATCAAATTTGCATATAATTTGAGAGACGTCTAATTTAACTTCAGCACAGAAATAAAGATTTACACTTTGGCTGCGTCCAAAACCCGCATTCTACCATACTGCCATACTACACTTACTATATTCCTGAATGTACTACAACGGGTGGTGCTCTATTTTTACATGTTTAGCATGGTAGTATTTGGTTCTGAACGCAGCCTTAGATTTACCACTGGCTTTTGCATTAAAGTAAACCTGAAATTAAAATTTACCTTTTTCCCCATTGTTAGTTCTCGATCTTGGTCATACTCAGCACAATCCACCCCACCATAAAATTGAATAGGGAAAATTCATGTTCTTTGATCAAAGTGTGATTTTTGCCAGATCCAAAAAAAACCTCTTTTAGATATCACCTCAGTGTGCACTAATGCAGTGCAAAATTAATAATAACCAATAATCCCATGTTTCACCCCCATATCTCCGTATATTCTCTGAGGTTGTCAGTTGTATATTATCAATATATATATGCCTGTGTTACAGTGGTACAGTATAATGTAGCAGAACCAAATGTAAGTTTTTTTTTTTCAAGGGTCTAACAGTAGGACATGGCTTGTGTCCATTTTTCAGATTATTTTCAAACTGCTATCATTGTGTTCAGTGTGTCTTCATTTTGCTTCATGGAAGGTTTATACATGCATTTAGGTTGGCATTTATTAACATTACAGAATTTTTCAGATGGTCCTTCTGGCCAGTGTTTGCACCACACTTAACTGCTGTAGCCAGGGCTCAATGAAGGCACTGTGGGACACAAAAACAGTTAAAAATGCAGTAGTTAATGTTTTACACTCTACAACACCCCCCTTCACCTGCATCTTACTTCACACAGGATATACAAACATGGCGTTATGATTATCACCCAGCACAACACACTTATACTTCTGTTGTGTGTTCTTAAAAAAACAAAAAAAATAAAATAAATGAATACTGGAAGCTATGTAAACAATGCCATTTGATGAACCACCTTCAGAGACTGTATGTTAGACAACTAACAATACTTGTAATTAGCTAACTAACTCTACTTAGTTTGGCTAACTCCAGTAGAAAATAAATTGTAGCTGCAAGCTGTAATGTGTACGAAAACTCCATTCTCCGATACAGAATGGGATTACATGTAAATGAGAGAAACTCAGAAAAGTTGACTGGTAGTCTAAATTCAGCTGCTTGAAAAACTTTAGTCTCATAAGTAATATGAGCTCGGGCGGCACGGTGTCGCAGTGGGTAGCGCTGTCGCCTCACAGCAAGAATGGCCTGGATTCGATTCCCGGCCGGGCGAACCAGGGTCCTTTCTGTGTGGAGTTTGCCTGTTCTCCCCTGTGTCTGCGTGGGTTTCCTCGCACAGTCCAAAAACATGCAGTCAGGCCGATTGGACATGCTAAAATTACCCCTAGGTGTGTGAATGTGTGTGTGTGTGTGTGTGTGTGTGTGTGTGTCTGTCTGTCTGCCCTGCGATGGACTGGCGACCTGTCCAGGGTGTATCCTGCCTTCCGCCCAGTGACAGCTGGGATAGGCTCCAGCACCCCACCGTGACCCAGAAGGATAAGTGGTTTAGATGATGTATGTATGTAAGTAATATAAGACATTGTAGACAAAATGTTTGCTAAACTAATAACATTGTTAACACATCCACACTTGATGTGATCTGATGTTGCCCTGTCTGGTTGGGGTGCCATCACAAGCTAATGTAATGTTGGCTAACTCTGCAGAGGACCTCTGCTGGCTGACATAGATTCCATGTGCTTCATGTAGATGGGCAGGGATGGGAGATTCAGGATTCAAGAGTTTTATTGTCATATGCACACTGAAACAGGTGGTTACACTGTACAATAAATTCTTACTTTGCAAATCCTCTGTTCACACACACACAAAATTAAGACATAAAGAAGTACATTTAGTGATGAAACTTTATTGTACACTATTGTGCAAAGACCATGAGAGTAAAGTTACCTGTGCAGTATAGTGCAGAGATAAGCTGGGACAAAGGGTAAACAAAGAGAGGTCTGGGACTGGTATCTTGAGAGGAGTGGGCAGGGGAACTCTGGTCTTCCATTCCCTTACGCTCTGGTCAGTATTTTCAGCAGCAAGGATTTCCTTCCATGTCTTCCTTTCATATTCATTATTCCCCTTCGCCCCTTTCTGTCTTCTTTTGTTTGTAGTGGGAGGAAACAGCTGCAGTAGCTGCACTGATGCACTCTGGGATTCTAGACCAGTGGGATGGTAAGATGGGCAGGATGGGCTTGCAGCCAGTGATGTCAGGGCTTGGAAACCACAGGATGAGTCTTTGACCCTTCTGCATCCTTTTAAAACAGGGCCCCTGAGCACTGAGGATATCCTGTATAGGGAGAAGCCATCAACTTGTAAAGTGTCCCAAAGTGTGCTTCTAAATTGACTTCTTGGCTACTGTGTACAATTTAGAGACAAGGTAGGACACACTATCTTTGTGTCAGTAAATAGCAATTTGGTTACAGGGATCAAGGTTTTGGTTACAGGGATCAAGACATGCTAGGTTTAGGATCCTGCTGAGGAACATCTTCAGAATGAGAAGCTGGCCAGCTTCTACAGCAGCATGTATATTTTAAGTGGCCCATCTCATAGTACCAAACACGGTAAAGGTGGACACCCACAGAATCCTGGGATTGCATCCCATTATCTAATAGCCATCTTGCCATTTCAAGGTGCCCATGAGAGGTGGCCACAAAGAGAGCCACATGTTTCCGAAATATGTAGCAGAGAAAGCATTATGCTGACTGTTTTTTTGTGGTGTTCTTTGGCTACTATCTATTAATTGTTGAGAAACATTAGCACTAAGTAATAACTGAACTGAATTCATATTTAAATCAGGCTTTCAGTCAAGAGACCTCAGAACTGCCTTTTCCTAAGAGAAATGTCACTGAACTTGGAAGCAGCCTCTGAAGAACTCCGTCCAGCCACCCCAAAATCTATGTGAAGAGTATTTCCTACAATGGACAGAAATACAAAAGAAGTCAACCAACTGAATAACATTTTTCAAACTTTCTGAATTTCTCAAACCCTTAGCCAACATGAAAAAACTGCCTGCACTCTCTGTTAAAGTACAAATACAATACAACATACTGCCACATTATAAATAAACCAGATACATGGTGCATGACAGCTTAACAGCTTCAACAGCATAATCACTTAGCAGGTGATGGTCATAAACCTTGGTGCTGTTCTGGGATGATAGCCTAGGAGCACTACCTGGCTGAGTTGACAGGGCACTAAAGATCTAAATTTGGAAACAGAAGAGGTGAGTGGGACTACTGTTCCCATTACATACAGGGTTTCTTTTGTGACAGCACAGAACACTTTTCCACTTTTGAGCCAAATGGTTCTCAGGTCCGTACTGGGCCATTCCATGCTAGTTCTAGACTCGTGAGGCCAGTTATGGTTTCTTTTTCCATGTGTTGTGTTGCTAAATCAGAAGATTAGATTAGATTAGATTGAACTTGTCATTGTGCAGGGTACAGGTTTAGAGCCAATGAAATGTAGTTAGCATCTAACCAGAAGTGCAAAATACTGTATTATTTACATGTAAAGTGCAGAAGTACGGTAGAGTGGTAGAAAATATAGATATGCATGAATAAATGTAGTATACAAATATACAGAGTGAGTGGAGAGCCTACAATGTAGTATGTACTGTGAGAGCAGCATATGTAAAAGATAAGTATACAGATTAAACTTAGTACAGTAGCTGTTGGTGCAACTATGAATAGTGCAGTAAAAGCCTGTGCAAATATGAATAGTGTAATAATACTAGGACATAAAGCCCAATACAGTGCAGTAAGTGTAAAGATGCCATTAAAGTGGCGGTGTGGAGTTCAGCACAGTCACAGCCTCAGGGAAGAAGCTCTTCCTGACCCTGCTGGTGCGGGAGCAGAAGCTTCTGTTATGTCTGCCAGATGGGAGGAGGGTAAAAAGTCCATGGTTAGGATGAGAAATGTCCCTGATGATGTTTGTTGCCCTGCCCAGGCAGCGCTTAGGGAAAATGTTCTCACTGGAGGGTAACTGGGTACCTGTGATGCGTTGGGCAGTTTTCACCACCCGCTGGAGCGCTTTGCAGTCAGATGCAGACCAGTTGCCGTACTACACAGAGATGCAGTTGTGAGTATGCTTTCTATGGTACAGC